AGAATTCCCCAGCCAGCATGGGGAATGGCTGGGGAATTCTGGGAGTGGAAGTCCACACGTCTTCAAGTTGCCAAGGTTGAGAAACACTGATCTAGAGGATAACAAATGTATTTATAAAATGGTGGGGCGATGGGGTAGATCATCCACTCTGAATGAACACAGATAGCTTTCCCCACCTGTGGCTTCCGGTAATTTCCATTCAGTGGCGAACTGCTTCAAAACTTAAAAATCCCATTTTATTATTTTCATTTCTTTATTATTTGGGTTTATCAGCTGCTTCAACTGCTCTAAGCAGAGTATTCGCCATATTCATAACAAGGGTGAACACAGTCCATAACTTAATTCAGAAGTGAATAACCATACTGCACCTAGGAAACACTCCCTAGGTATAAACAATCAGAAGAGGTGGGGGCTGGGGGACATCCTCTTCAGTCCCCAAAGGCTTCTGGGGGGGAGGGGAACTGCCCTCCCTGAATTCCAAAGGGGTTGGAGCTGTTCTAATCTCGAGGGACAGGAAGAAGATGGGACACTATTTCGTAAGTGTGGAATGGACACAGAGAAGGCCCACCATCATCATCAAACTACTAACAGTTTTTCAGTTTGCAAATGGATGTAGCTATGTGAGTAGAACAGGAAAAAATGCTCCTAAACTTATTTTTCATGGGCATATAATGCAGATAAACCTTCTATTGCACTACCATGGCCAACTTTTTTATTTTTTATTTATCTACACTGTAGACAGTCTTTCTAGACTCAGCACGTTTAACCAACAATCCTTTGCACATATACTTGGAAAGTCTCACTGGATTTTGGTTCATCTGCACAGGTTTCTCTCTGACATATTAAAAAAAACATTCCAAAGGAGTACTCTGCAGTAAGAGTATTGTGACATTTTGAAGACTAACAAATATATATAAAGTAAGTCATGTTTGGAAGCTCATGATATTTAGACACAAAATGGTGGAAAACATAGCTGATGGATTTTTTTAAAGTTTGTACTGACAGGCATTTTCAGTTTACCTCGAATGGTAAAGATGTGGACCTGCGGAAGAATCTTATAGATAGAGAATATTATCAATTTCTTGGCAACCATATTTCAGGGAAAACTAACAAGTGAACAGTGTACTGTATTCCACAGATAACTGGGGGCTGCTTGCTTGTAGGAAAATGCTCTCTGCAAATTCTCTAGGCATAATGTGCATAGCCAACCGTTAACACTATTTAATATGAGGAACATAATATACTTAATAGGTTGTATTAGGGAAGATTAATAGTATAGGACCTTCTTTGCTTTTGGAACACCCCAGGTTCAATCCCTAGGAAGATCTTCTCCAATCTCCATATAGGGGTGGACTTCAAGCTTCCATAATTCTCATGGAGCTGGTTGAAAATTATGGGAGCTGAAATTCTCTCTGCTTGGAGAAAGCTAGTGGGGAAGGCCGCCCTAGAGTTGCAGCAGATGGTATGAAGGATCTCTGCCAGAGATTTAACAGGGCTAGCCCCAGTCACAGAAAAACAATTTGGCCAAATGGACAAAATAATCTGACTTTGTAGAAGGCATGCTGTCCCATTAGATCATTCTAACTCATATTGCTCCAAAAGCATTTACTTTGGCAGAATGAAAACAAAAGCCTCCAGTAATAATTCAAAAATAAAAATGTTGTCAACTGTAAGAAATCTGGAAGACACCACCCTAGAACTGGCCTTAGTGTAGCTGAAGAGTTCCAGACTCTAAAGGCAAACATATTCAGTTTGAAAACAAAAACTGGTTTTAATCAAGATTCAAGCATTTGTAGATCATGAAATCAAAATACGAAAAAAAAATCTTATATCCCAAACTCCGAGGATTACAAATGTCAGCTTCCATCCCCCGATCTATTTTTATCCTCCAAAAATTCAAGTTGCTATACAGCTTGTTTGCTGCCAATGACTCAAATTTACTGTCAGCATCTTGACAAGAGAGATTCGAATGAAACAACGCTCCTCATAAATGAGTGCCATGACTCACTGATTTCTCCCACTGATGATGCAGAGTCTCTCCGTCTGCCCTTCCAAAAATACACAAGGAGACAAGGGATTACAGCTTGAAGGAAGCAAGCTGCAAAGCGCAAGGGGAGGAAAAAAACACACCCAAACCAAGAGAGATGCGTTTTGCAGCCTAACCAACATTCAGCTCAGCAACTAGACCGAATTCTACAGCTTTAAGGGGCCTTTGGACTCCTAAAACAGCCATCTGAAAGCTACCCAGTAAATCACTGTTGACATCAGGAAGGGTTTCAAGAGCAATGTTAGATGGTTGTAATTGTTATACCAATATTCAGAACGTATATAAAGCTATAGGTATGACTGAACTGGTTCTTTGGATTCCAGACTTAACACTGGAAAATAATCCAGTATAATCTGAATGCCACCAAAATTTGCCAAATAAATGAAGAAATCAGAATAATAGAATAATACTACTTTAAATAATAACAAGATATAATACGGATCACATTTTCTCTCAACTTCTTTGAAAGAGAATGTATCATAGCTCAAAACTCCCTACATTTCTTATTATTTCCCCAGGGATCTGTTTCTTTTCTTTTCTTTTATGTTCTTTTTTTTTTCTTTCCTTTTTTCCCTTTCTGATGGGCGAATGGAAGATTCTAAAATTTAAAATACACAATTCTTTTCAAATTTCTCAAAAAGGGCAGCATTTTAATTCCCCTTTTTGTTGTATATCCCACTAATGAAATGCACCAAAAAAAGGGAAACAAATTTTCACTATCCACTCATCATATTTAAAATGCACATACACAAATGCACACACACACACACCCTATACACACAAGTCTGATTCCTGTATCCTTAGTAATAAATATTTAATGAGTATCTACTTTTCTGCCAACTAGTCATATCATCTATATTAAGAGGCAGAAAAAAAATATGTAGTCTATATTTGCTTGGTTAGGAATTTAGAGTGTCATCATGCCACAAACTGGAGGATAATCGTTAGAGGAGGCTCCTATACCCTGGCCAACCTCCTGCTCAACTTCAACTTCTCAAATTACCCAATTTTTCTCCTTGCCTTAAATACTCCATTGCTTCAGGACATCTAACATATGAATCCTACTGCCACCATGTAGAAACTTCACTGAACTGAGATGTGGGGAGGATCATCCATCCATCGATCTAGGTTCTCTGGTGAAAGATGCTAATATTTTGACAACCAGATGACAGACTAAATTGCCATGGTCCTGGCTGAAAGCCAGAATGACAAATGCATTTCTTCAAATGTAAATACTCTCTATCACGATCACTGTGTGGTCCATTGGTCTTCTGAGAGTTTCCCTAAGAAAGAAGCATTTGTACCACATGGCTTTTATGGCCTGGATTACTGTAACATAAACAGAACCTAGTTTAACAGGGAAGTTTTCCATTCTCAATGTTTATTTCATTATTTGAAGCTTAAACAGACACTTTATGTAATGAAAGCAAATCATTCCCATTTTTGGAATTTTACAGCCATTAGCATTACTCCTAATGTTGTCCCCCGCTCCACCTTTCGTTTCTTTATATGGCTGATATTAAAAAAAAAAATCCATCTGCTGGAAAAATAATCTTTCATCTCTCTATTGGATATTTACCCAGTTCAAATCAGCACTGACCAGCCACATCTGCAACAAAAGCTGGAAATGACTGAGATGATGATGATGATGATGATGATGATGATGATATAAAAACGGGCAGAAGAATATTCAAAACACAATATGCATATATTGCAACTTCAGAAGTGTTCAAGTGGGATAATGAGCAACTCAAATATTAATCAGTATGTACTGATGCCCTCGAGCAATGTTTCTGGCAATTCTGGATAGAACTGAGAAACCAGGAGGTACTGTAAGGTCACAGATTTATAGTTAGAAGGGGCCCTTTAGGTACTAATTTCAATTCCCTGCTCAGTACATATCAGAATGAAACTGTTGGCTATCCAGCCTCAGCTTGAACATAGAGATCAAATGAGAGCCTATTTTCTACATGACCTGTTGCACCGTTAACCTTCACCTACTGTTAGGAAGTTTTTCTAATACTTCAACCAGAAACTACTTTTCTGCAACTTAAACCCATTATTCGATATTCTTCTCTCTGGGATAATAGAGAACATATCCTGGCCTTCTTCTGTGTGACATCCTTTCAAGTATTTGACAAGTGCCAACAAATTTCCCCTCCCAGTTTTCTTTTTTCAAGGCTAAACATACTGAACTCCTGCAAGCTCTCTTCTTAGACTTTCTTCAAGTCTCCAGTCCCCTGCTCTTCCTCATTATCCCAGTATGTCTGGATCCTTCTTAAACCATGGTGCCCAGAATGGGAAAAAAATAAATGAGGTGGGTCTAGCAGAACACAGTGGGATTTTAATTTCTCTGGATATGGAAATGTGATGCAGCCTAGAACGGCATGTGCTAACTCTTATTCAGTTTGAAATCAACTAAAATCTTTTTCACAAGTACTATTATATTTATTTATTTGTTTACAATTATTTGTAGGCCACATATCCTAAGCATCTTACAGTAGTGTATCAAAAACTTCAATAAAATCCAAATATTCAAAATCTTTTTTTTTTTAATCTTTTAAAATCTGCTGTTCTCTTCCCATCTTATTCCCCAAAAGCTCTGAAGAAGAAGAAGATCTCCAGATGCTTCCTATAGACTAAGGGGTCAGCTGTACTACTGGAAGGGAGCTGGCACTGAGAAAGCCACTTTCTGGGTCCCCACCCCACCCACATCTCCCTACGGGTGGGTTACCCACAGCATCCTTTCCTGGATAGACTGCATAGGAGAGCAGACTCTACCTGGGGAAGATAATCCCAAAGACAATAAGGGTTAAAGCTGGGTAATGCCTTATAAATAAAACCACATTTTAAATTGGATCCAGAAGCCTATTACCAGGATAGCTTTTCCTTATATATTTCCTTTTCTAAGTAAAGAAGTTTGCATTTGTCCCTATTTAACTTTGTTCTCTTCTTTTCGACCTATTTCTCTAGCTTAATGTGATTGGTTTGAATTTGATATCTGTCTTCTAGGGTATTAGCTATCTCCCTCCATTATGGGCCACCTGCAAAGTTTCCTGCCACTTCTTCACCCAAGTCATTAATAAAAATACTGAAGACTACAAGTCTCAGGACTGAACCATAAGGCACCCCACATGATAATTCACTGGAGTTTACTAAGATAACCATTGACAGGCACTCTTTGAAAATATTTTCAGGCCATCTATCCATCCACTTAATTGTCATATCCTCCATCTTACATTTCTCTGTACTGCTAATCAGAAAGTCAGATAGTACTCTGTCGAGCCCTTCGCTTAAGTCAAGGTATATTATATCTACGTATTAATATCCCACATATGCTGAGAAGGTTATCCCAAAAGAATGGAAATCAAACATAGGCCTTATAAATATTTGGATGCAATTGTTTCAACCATGCTCTAAAAATTCCTGTTAAACATTCTTCAGTTCCATGTTGGCACATATGTGCATGTTTATATATATTCATGTATGTATGTATGTGTGTGTGTGTATACATACATACATATACACATGTTTGCATGTATTTTTGTGCCTTTGAGTCAGTGTTGACTCCTGGAGACTACCTGGACAAGTCCCTGCAGTTTTCTTGGCAAGGTTTTTCAGAAGTGGTTTGCCATTGCCTGCTTCCTAGGGCTCAGAGAGAGTGACTGGCCAAGGTCACTCAGCTGGCTTTGTGCCTAAGGCAGGACTAGAACTCACAGTCTCCAGGTTTCTAGCCCTGGTGCTGCCTTAACTACTCCAAACTGCTGTATACACGCATACATACCAGATACACACACAAAGACCTGAATATGTGTGTCTGTGTGTGTGTATCTGGTATGTATGTGTGTGTGTATACGTACCAGATACACACACACACACATATATATACACCAGATATATATACATCTCTTCAATATATGCACAATATATACACATACTACAGTGTTTCAAAACTGTATTTTCCTGGTATAATTTCTTAATTTTATTTTGTTCCTTAACTTAGTTCTATTATGTTATTGTTCTTATTATGAAGACAATTGTTTCAAAATGCTATCCAGACAATAACAGGAAAACTCACAAAATTTATTATTAATTCACCAGCACTCTAGTAAAATGGCATCAAACTTTCAGGCTACATCCAATATAAAGACTGCTTGTGTAGAATATTTAAATATTTTAAATGAGAATAACTGAAGTGTTATGCTGTAAAATGGCATTATAATGCATTATTTATTGATAAGTAATTAAAAGATGCAAATACAGGCTGCCAATATGATCAGAATTATGCTGGAAGCTATTCTCCCTGTATCACCTTTAGTTAAGCATCACATCGCAACAGCTAAGTGCATTTCCCTACCTCTCAAACCCTCCCTATTCTCTTGGAGGTGTGATTAAGCCATAGTTCTGCTGTTGTTTATCCACAGAAAGGCTAACACAATTTCAGTGAACACTAACCTGACCTTGTCTGGCTTAGACACTAAGCAGGACCAGGTCTGGATGGGAGACCACCAAAAAATTCCAGGGCTGTAGGTCAACAAACAAATGAGAAGATGGCAATGGCAAGCTACTCCACATAGTTAACAAGAAAACTATGGAAGAGTCCACGAGGTCCAGGTGTTGAACTCAGTTTGAAGGAGACTTTACTCTTAATACTCAACAGTAAAGGAACAAGCAGTCAAGAAATACATCGCAGACTAGCACTTGGTAGAGCTGCCATGAAGGCCTTGGAAAAGATATTCAGATGCCATGATGTGTCTACAAAGATCAGAATAGCGCAGGGAATAGTTTTCCCTGCGACACTCTACGAAAGACTTCAAAGAAGCAGGATTAGAAGAATACTGATGCTTTTGAACTTTGATATTGGAAAGTCTCCTGAGAATACCATGGACAATCAAGAAAATGAACAAATGAATCATCAAATAAATCAACCCAGAGTTCTCACTTGAGGCACAAATGACCAGGCTCAAATGATCTACTTTGTCATGAAGAAAATATATCTATGTGGCTGCTAAGAGTCAACACTGACTTGGTGATACATAATCAATCAATCAGTTACTCTTAATTCAAACTCAAATGAAAATATGCTTTAAAAAAAAAATCTGAAATCTAGATATGTGAAGTTTATTAAAAGTTAGGGAAAACCCGGGGTAGGGAAAACTAGGGGTTTCAACGTTTTTTTTCCTTTCCTCCTCTCCAAAAAGAAAAAAATTAAAAATGGATTATAAAGTATTTCCTAACATATTTTTAGGTGATACATAAAATGGTTTTTAAAAATGCTCATATGTTGCAACCTACTGTTTAATTAGCAACTATTCTGAGGGCTAATGCTCCAAAGATTTTCTACCTTTCTTTCTTTTTCAGCTTTCTAAAACAAATGCTTCTGCAATGCTTCAGCAGATCTGCTTCCCATACCACATCAGGCTGTATTCAAGATACTCATGGCTCACTGCAAGGGGGAAAGTTCACATCAGCAACACTTCTTTCCCATGAAGCACTCCAACAGAAAGGAAAATAAATTATCTTGCAATAAAGTAATATAAAGAGAACATGTGTAAGGTAATTTGTCAGTGTTGTATATTTTAATCCCAATGCTCTCATTCTCATTAGGGTTTCTCAGGCTGGAATAGGGACCTTGACACCTATTATGTGCTCACATCTGCAGTTTAGCATGCTTGACTGCCACCTAGGTCAAATATTCAAATCACAGCCCGATCAGAATCCAAGATCTTTGCTCATGTATAGCTATTCTCTGTGGTACCAACGCATAAACCCCGACTTGATGCTTTCAGCTCAACCTGGTGTAGAACGTCCCTGCGGATTCATAATGTAAATGTAAACAATACATTTATGAGAGAAATAATCCTCTTTTGTTTCTTTGTTTTCTTTTTTCTCCCCAAACACCTTCCCGTTCCTGTTAGGCCAAGAAATAAGCTCAGTCTATTTCACTAGGACGCTAGAGCATAAGTCACTTTGCTTGTAATAACAGGCAATTACGTGCTACAAGACATTGTCAGCTTTTGCCGAGTGAGACGGCAAGATCCTACATATTAAATGATGCCAACTGTAGCGAGCAGAATCTAAGGGAATAATTTAGTATTTGGAGTCCTTGGACATTTAGAAGATGCAAGTCCAGGGAATTCAAATAATCTGAACTCCCAACTGCACTGCAGCTCTAACACCTCAATTTGAAAACAAGGAAGACTTGATAACAGGCTTTCATGTAGGGTACTGATTATATTTTGTTCTGTATGTGAATAATTTAGGCTTCTGGCGAACAATGCAAAGGCCCAGACACATAATCAGTGAAAAGGCAAGTATGGAATACTATTTTCTGCCAAACCAAACACTATTTGCTCTAGAGTTATAAAACATATTATCTCTCTGTAATGTTTTTCTCTGAAAACTAGCTCTTCTATCTCAGCTCCATATTCTTCCATTGATTTTCCATTGATTTTTTTTTTAATTTGCTCCTCCAGCCATGAAAGATTTTTCATCATGAGTGTTCATGGACCAACAAATGTGAAATGAAATTGTCTGAAATTTCTAGAAGACAAAAGTAGTCGCAATGAGGACCAAACCAGCTTGACACCTGCTCTGCATTTTTCAGTTTTCTGTGCCGATGCTTCCCCCTCCCTGTTTCTACCAGTTCACATTTTTGGAAGGGGGCGAAGAATTACTGTACTGAGATGCTTGAAACACATTTTCATACTAACAGTCCTGCAAGCTTGTGCTGTTCAATGCACAAAGCAGACAAGCAGAGTTGCTCAGCCTCATGATTGCCTTTCCTCTTCCTTCTGAGGAGCAGGTTCTGCCTTCTTTCCATAACTTTGCCTCAAGAGTTCATAGCCCGAAAGGTTCTCCCTCCATACTATGGGGTCTAGAATGCAAGTAATCATTCACTTTCAGAAGCAACAACTCCTTCTCTTCTAGTAAACAAGTAGAATTTCTTAGCTGCTATCATGGCCCCTGAGGAAATCTTAACATGGATTTTAATCTTTTAACCAGATCTACCTTTCTCCATTGGCATTCCAGTCATCTCTTTAAGGATTTCATCAGCAAGGATTTGGAGAAGTCTAATCTGGGATTACAGACTGGCATTTAAAATCAAAGAGGCTTAAACAAGAATTATCAGAAACCCATGGTTTAGGTCAGCTTTCTCCAACCTAGGTGCCTTCAGCTAGGAAGATCTGTTCCACCTCAACTACCACTCTTCCTCCTGTGTGCATTATTACTGAAATTGCAGCATTCTTTTCCATTCCCTCCCATTCTAAGGTATGCCTAGCCCACACAGGGAGCTTCTAATTGTTCAGAAAGAACATTATGCTGCATCATCTCCCAATCCCTCCCACAGGAAACTGGGAACAATCAAAACAATGGATGACAATTCAGCATTGTTGCTCTTTCTAGTTATATGTATCCCATACAGAAGTATCTGAGGCTCCTGAACTGCCTGCAAGCTTTGTTTTCGGTCTCTCACATTTCCAACTGAAGGCCAACTTCATTCATCAGCTCTCACTAAAGTAGCTATATCAAATCAGCTCCCACTAAAGTAGCTATATCTCTGGTGATATGCCACTGCACAGTAGACTCTGGAAAGACTGTCCTGCCTGAATCTGGAGAGACACCAGTGTGGAATAGAACTTCAGGAAACATAACAAACGTCTCTTAGTCCAGCTCTTCTGTAACTATTCATCTGCTCTGCACAATTTCATACCAACTGGATGATGCTGGTAGATGATTTTTGCCCTTTCTAATATTTGACTTTCTTATTAAAAAGCATGATAATCATAATAAATAAAGTTGTCCATTCATGCAGTGTGATTATGAGTAAGTATAATTCCATGATATCAGGACTGACAATAGTATTGATGAATTATCCAGTTTTTGTTGGAAAGTTTTCAAAACATATTCTAAATGACAAAAACATTATTTACCTATTAATCTCTCCAATACTAAGGCAATTTGCTGAGCAGGGGGTCCTTTTCTTTCCATTTACTAAGTTTTGGACAAAATTCCTATAGCCATGAGAGACCAACTTTCCCTTTTAAAATCTCTGCTAACTATATAATAGTTTGAAGACCACTGTATGGCTTCATCCTTCTTTCAATATTAGAACCAGCTTTTTATTGACAGGAGATATATTTGGAGGTCCATTTAGAAATTATATATCTCGTTTGCACGCTTAATTGACCTTTTATCCTCCTGTTAACTGTCACTATGTGTCTGTGTCAGTGTGTAAAATGTTTTTTGTTTTATTTTCCCTTCTTTTTCTTTTTTGCATATTTTAAAGTTCCCTTTTTAAAAACTTGATAGCAGCGTATATATATATTTTAAATAATAAGGGGAACACCTGATATTACAGCGGAGCTATATTTAACAGTTTTTATATTAAAAACATATACTCTCTTTCTAAAAACTAGTCTATTTTCAACTTGTGCTCCAATATTGTATCTTTTAAACTAAATTATCATTTCCATTACTGATATTTCTGTGTAACCCTGATTGAAATAACAAACAAAACTATTATTATTTTTAATTCCATTTCACTGAAAATATTACATTCCAACTGCAGCATTGTGACTTGCCTTTCTGGAATACACTATTATGATTGTCATTGTAAAAAAAATAATCCACTTTGCCTTCCCTTTCACAGATTGTAGGCACTTTTTAGAAATGTCTACAATAAACCAGTATCCATTTACTACAGTTTCAGTTCTCCACAACTTTTGAGTGCCAAATTTTCCAACCTTTAATTATTCACATCTTTCTTTCCAATTTTTCCAGTTAACAGATGGAACATTGTCCGGAACCTATGGTATGGTTTTAATATGAAACAAACCATTTTCCCTTCTCTTACAGAAGCTGCCCATAAATCATTTTGTTCTCTGAGCAACTGAATGTTCTCAACAATCACACAAATTCAAACCATTACAACACAATGGGTTTGATATACTATCAATGATAAATCCATTTTGTTTTATTCAGTCAAGAAGGCTTAAAATATTTGCCACAGACTCATATTTAATTAGTCATCTCTGTAACCAAATCCTCTTCCTGAGTTCATGTGTCCGTATCACTTCGTGAACTAAATTTAATCCACCCGATTATTAGTTCTAAGTAAAAAGCTTTAAGAAATAAAACTGAGAAGAGAAGCATGAATCCAACTAGGAGTTACAAAAAATCTTTTAGAATTAATGTGGCATCTGTTTTAAAATATTCATTTTGGGGAAATCAGAATGATAAACAAAGCCTACGTCAATCAAGTAATTACTTAAGTTGAAAAACCAACAATTCAACCTGAACAAACAGACAAGAGTCACTCAATATGCTATGATGAGAACTCTTCCTGTAGCACTAAGTATGGGAAACTACAACCCTCAGCAATGCTAGCAATAATAGTCAAAGGTGAACCATTCGGGCAGTTGTACTTCAGTAACATCTGGAGGGTCACAGTTTTTCCACTTTGGAGTTATAGGAAGGACTTTCATCCGGTTGGTGATATATATGTATAGCTAACACTTTAACTTATAAAAGCAGCCATCCAATATGCATCTCTATGAAACGAATTTAATACATCAGTACTGGGCTTGTTTTTTTCATTTTGACATTTCTTCTCATAATCGTTGTAAATCCAGAGTGGGTCATTTTTACCATAAATATTTTATGTGCAAATAGTTGTATGGGAAGGTCTAACCATGAACTAAAGAAGCTAAAAGCTGAAGTTATAAATAACATTGCAAACTCTATTAAAGGGAAAGTGTACCAATTAGAAAACTTCCACCAAGAATACAATGAAGTAAAGTAATATTTCATGCTATGCAGGGAACAGGAAAATGATGAACATCAATATATGATACTCTTGGGATCTAAATGCCCTACACTGATAGGAAGCTAATGGGCTGAGTATAGGCCTTTTAGCTGAAAAGCTCAATATGGCAATCTGACTCATGTAAGATGAAAGGACACGTGACAAGAATTTTGGTGTAGGCCCAGTTCAAGGGTTTACCAGCTACTTGTATGGATTGATTCAAAGCATGGGGTCAGTCAAAACAATATTTTGGTGTAGGCCCAGTTCAAGGGTTTACCAGCTACTTGTATGGATTGATTCAAAGCATGGGGTCAGTCAAAACAATATTTTGGTGTAGGCCCAGTTCAAGGGTTTACCAGCTACTTGTATGGATTGATTCAAAGCATGGGGTCAGTCAAAACAATCGAGGTTGCCAAAAATACTTAAGAATTATAGAACAAATTAATTTGGAAGAAAAGAAAGCAGTCTTGAGACTGTTCTCACTAAAACTAGAGATAGTTTCAATATTGGCACCTCTTCATAAATCCAGAATCTAGCAAACATCATATAGCAAAAATTCCTATGTCCCCTTTTGGATTTGTAGCAAATTACAGAATTTACAACCAACTTTTTAATATATCTTTGGGAATTACAACACGTATGGATTGCCAACCAGATTTTTTTAAGTTGCACGTACATTTACTTCATATATTGATTTACTGTTGAAGACTGACAGAAGATAATTAATTGCA